ATGACTCAAAGTAAAAGTGAAAAAAAACGTGCGGTATCAAAAAATAATCGTAAACGAAAAAATAAAATTAATGAAGCTGAAACCACTGAGACAAAAGAATCTACAGAAAAAGTAGATTTAAAAGCATCTCGATTAAAGCGCTCAACNATTAATGAAGCTGAAACCACTGAGACAAAAGAATCTACAGAAAAAGTAGATTTGAAAGCATCTCGATTAAAGCGCTCAACAATAAACAATCAAGACCAAAAACTAGAAAATAAAAACTCGTAAGTTTAAGCGATTAAAAAATTGAATTTATTTTAGCAATGCTAAGTTTATCTAATATATTGAACAGTATAGATAAATTAAATAAAAAAGGAGTAAAAGGATATAGTCAATTGGTGAAAATATAATATATAAATACTAGAACAAATTATATTATAACTTTCAGTATTTTAGCTTCGATGCGAAACTAAGAATGTATTAATTTTACTATAATGTGTTTTTTTTTTGTGTCTGTTACCACTTTTTCTCACCTCTCACCGGACTGATTTCTTTCAATGATACGTCAAAAGATCACAAATCGTATCTAGTTGAAGATATTACCCTTAAAAATTGAAAAATTTTCCCTCATTCCCTGCAAATAGGGGAAATCTCCAAAAAAATTACAAATTTAAAAATAGCTAATTTTCGAAATTTTTTTTACTTAAAACTGCCATAAATTTTTCAAAATTGAACAAATCAATATCAATTTTTTTTAATAAATGCATAATGTTTTTACCTATTATTTGGTATATTTTTTTTTATAAATCTGACCCTAAATCTGTCCACAGTAAAGGATTCAAAATGACAACTTTTTAAGTATTTATATACGTCTTTCATTTGAGATACTTTTTTTTTAAATCGGACCATTTCCCTATGTACGAGGGGGGTTTAAATCTAAAAAATGCATATAGAAAGTAGAACTTTTTGACTTAACTTTAGAAAAAATGTCGAAAATTAGTGATTTTTAAATTTGTAATTTTCTTGGAGGTTTCCCCCATTTACGGGGAACAAGGGAATTTTTTTCAATTTTTGAGAGTAATGTCTTTAAATAGATACGATTTGTGATTTTTTGAGGTATCGTTAAGAAAAATCGGTTGTGGAAGAGCTGAAAAAAAGTGGTAACAGACAAAAAAAAAAAAAAAACACATTATAGTAAAATTTTCAGCTTCGAAAGTTCGAATCAAAGGTAAAAATTGTAAATAAGAAAATTTCTATTGTCTTGTGTAATGATATTTATTAGTCTAAATTAACTTATTTCCACCAATGCATAAAATTCTATATGATTTAACTAAGTTATGAAGAAATCGGTTCGGTAAAAGCTGAAAAAAAGTGGTAACAGACACAAAAAACCCAGCACAGGGGGGTCGCGGCACAGTGGTGACGTGGCATAGTTGGATCAAGTATAATGATATCTGACAGTGATTAAAATCACTATAAAAAAAAAACGCTTCGATGCAAATCTTTAGATAGTGTTTAATTTTAAAAAATTGGTGGATTATTCCAAAAGCTTCATAAACTGCTAGTTCCTTATTAATATCCTGATTAAGATAAAGTATGTCGAATGAAAAAGGGATTATTAAAAAATAGTATTTCCCATAAAAAAATTATATTGATCCATACACTTTTCAATAAGTTATAGCATTATAAAGTTAAAAATGTAAAAAATAAAATCGAGAATTTTCACACAAAAATAGCATTTGGTAGCCATTTTCACCATGAAGATAAAATAAAGTCCGAAATTTTTTTTTACCAAAATAAAGTATATTACATTAGCTTTAATTTAATATATATAAAAAAGTGTCAGACTTTCCGGAACACTTTCAAAATTTAAGTTGAAAAAGTAAATTTTTTGTGAAAAAGTCATTTTGAATCGCCCCCTGTAGGCAGGTAAAAAGTCAGATTTATAAAAAAAATATACCAAATGATAGGTAAAAACATCATGCCTCTACAAAAAAAAGAATTATATTGATCCATACATCTTTCGAGAAGTTATAGCATTATAAAGTTAAAAATATAAAAAAGAATTTTTTTACAAAAATCGTATTTTTTTTATTAAGTTTAATGTCTGTTTTCACCATGAAGATAAAATAAAGTCCGAAATTTTTTTTTACCATTATAAAGTATATTACATTAGCTTTAATTTAAGATATATATAAAAGTGTCAGACCTTCCGGAACACTTCCAAAAGTTACGTTGAAAAAGTTCTATTTTCTATATGCATTTTTATGTTTTGAATCCCCCCTATATTAAGGGAAATGGTTCGATTTAAAAAATATTTAAATTTAAAAAATATCGAATGAAAGATCTATATAAATACTACTTCTCATAAAAAAATTGTAATGATTCATACATTTTTCAAAAAGTTATAGCATAATAAAGTTAAAAATGGAAAATACAAAATCGAAAATTTTCACACAAAAATAGCATTCGGTAGCCATTTTCACCATGAAGATAAGATAAAGTCCGAAATTTTTTTTTTTCATAATAAAGTATATTACATTAGCTTTAATTTAAGATATATATAAAAGTGTCAGACCTTCCGGAACACTTTCAAAATTTAAGTTGAAAAAGTCAATTTTTGTGAAAAAGTTGTCATTTTGAATCCCCCCCTGTAAGCATGTAAAAAGTCAGATTTATAAAAAAAATATACCAAATGATAGGTAAAGACATCATGCATCTACAAAAAAAAAAATTATATTGATCCATACATCTTTCGAGAAGTTATAGCATTATAAAGTTAAAAATATAAAAAAGAATTTTTTTACAAAAATCGTATTTTTTTTATTAAGTTTAATGTCTGTTTTCACCATGAAGATAAAATAAAGTCCGAAATTTTTTTTTACCATTATAAAGTATATTACATTAGCTTTAATTTAAGATATATATAAAAGTGTCAGACCTTCCG